GATAAACTTCCCTTCCTCTCTTGTTTTGGTTTGCACTGAAAATAATCAGGGTGATATTGAAAACAAGCCATATGTTCAATGACATAAAATGCTTTAAGTGGTCTCTTTGGACGCATCCTTCATTTAGACTGCAGCAAATGATTAATGCAGATTATTTTACAACTTCCATGTGGATAAAAAGATTTGAGATGTTCTTTTTTTCTCACCTCCACTGCTTTGTTGACTGACACGCACTTCTGTTGTTTATTAATACATAAAGAAAAAGAGCAGAACACATGTTTGCTGACATGGCGTTCACAACAAGGCCAAGCAGCAGGTTTATTTCCCTTGTATGCTTACTGCACAACTATTTTTGTGTTTATATGTTTGTGTAGGAGGAAGAGAAGATTTTTCCTGGAAAGTTCTCTTTGTCTCAAACTATCAGAGTTCAAGAAAGTATGAAATCAAAAGCGAGAAAGGAAGTGTTTAAAAATAAAAGCTGCAGTCAGTAAATGATTACTAATAATGATGTTAATAATGCCAAAAATTTAAGACAGAATATCAACAAAGCAAGTAACACATGGCATGTCTGTTTGTTTCATTATTTTTCTTTTAAGTGCACATTTTAAAGATCTTAAGCAATGACAGATTAACCTTTCTCCTCTTTTAAGCAACATGTCCAGCCTCTGGATCACTTACATTTCATTTATCTGTTGATGTGTTATAGAAGTCTGTTATTTTATTTTTTGTTTTGTTTGTTCTATTTCTTGTTTTTGTTTTATTTTTTCTGAGGGTTATTTGAATATTTATAGAACTCCTTTGTGATTTATCTATAGTGTTTTTTTTTTGGTACCGGGGATCGAACTCGGGACCTTGCGCTTGTGAGGCAGGTGCTGGACCCACTGAGCTAAATCCCCGGCCCTCTATAGTGTTTTTGTGTACAATTCTTCATGTATTTTTTTTTTTTTGAGACAAGGTCTCACTATGTAGTCCAGGCTGGCCTCGAACTCATGGTGAGCTTCCTGCCTCAGCCTCCCGAGTGCTAGGACTATAGGCATGCACCACCCTGCCCAGTTCTTCATGTATTTTTAAAACTCCAGTTATAAGAACATATATACCTATATATAAAGATATACATTCCCATATCTCAGCCTGCTAGTGTCATTTATAGGTTTGGGGAAAGAATAGAAATCCTACTCTTTTATTCCTTTACCTTCCCCTGTTTATGAAATAATTGTCTTACATTTGGACTCCCATCATTTAGAATCTTACTTTTAGAATCTCATCAGGTAATATAATAATATTATATAATATAATCTCAGCAGATAATATTACAAATTTTACTTCTACCTTCAATCAGAGTTGAGAAAACTGAAAAGGAGTATGAAAGTCTGTTGTACTGACCCTTATTTATATTTTTTAAAGTTTCCATTGTACTGGAAATCAGGGCCTCATACATGCTAGGTAAGGACTCTGCCACTGAGCTACATCCACAGTCCAGCTGCCTTTCTTTCCTGGTGTTCCAAGTTTTCTTCTCCTACTGTTTCCTTTCTTTTTAGTCATTTTCCTTCACCTAGTCTTCTTTTTGTACGTGTCACACTAGGGACTGAACCCAGGACCTTGTGTCTGCTAGGTGAGCGCCCTACCACTAAGCTATTTCTTCAGCAGCCTTTCTTTTAAGGGCATGTCTGCTGGCAATTAATTTTCTACAGTATATGGTTATTATATTTTTCAGTCCTAGAATTTTTGTGTATCTGTATCTATATCCCTATTTATCTTATATTTCTTTGCTAACATTCTGTATTTCTTCACTTGTTTCAAGTGTGTCAGATAATTCTAGCATCTCCATTAGCTGATGGTGGCATCTGTTGATTTTTATTCTTTCCCACTCAGGAAGGGAAGGGCACACTTTCTCATTACTGCTAGTGCTGCAAGTCCAGCTTCCCCTCTGGCTTTTGTTGACTGCAGAGCTGGAGGGAAGGGGTGCTACAACAGCAACAGAGTTTCCTGCTGGGTAGGAGGTGGGAATTCTTGCTCCGCACTAGGCTTTCGTGGATATCTACCTAGCTGCGAGGGGTAGTAGTACTTCAGTACTGCTCTTCCCTTGGCCTCTACTTTCACGAAGGGTAGCAGGAAGGGGGTGCATATTAGACTTAGTTATTGCTCCTTTACAAGATTTTCATTCTTTCCTAGGAATTCTCTAATACTATTGTAGTGCAGAAGAATACTTAATTTCTGCTTGGTGGAGCTGGAAGTCAGACTTCCTCTGTGGAGGAGGCTGTTTTTGGCGGGAGGGTCTGAAAGTCTCAGCTCTCTGTTCTTCCCCCGGCCCACTCCTGAGGCCATGTTGGGCTAAGCATGGTGTCTTGGGTCCCCATGTGGTCTTTGCTGGGGTGAATGGAAGCAGGGCCATGGTGTTTCTTCTGATGTTTGACAGGAGTCTTCTGACTTGTGAGGCAGCCCCTCTCCTGTTGTTTTGGCTAAAGGGAGCAAAAATCTTGGGGCTGTTTTAGGAGGATTTTTCTTTTCTTGGAATTTTTTCCCTTAACCTTCTTTGGCATTTCCAACTTGCTGATTTCTTTAGAAAGTCCAGAATGTATGAGGCAAAAGGACTCACGACTGGGTTGTTCTTGAAGTATCACGTTCCCTCCCTGGTTTAGGGTCCTTCTTCTACCTTTCTGCCCTCTGTTTGCTTTATGTGTGATGTTCACAGCTGTTTATTGTGCTTAATGGGAGGAATAGGAGAAACTGCTGTGTACTTATTCTATCTTCCTTAGAAATTGAAGCCTGCTAAAATGGAAATTTTTGTCTAAATATCCACATAATTTTGTTTAAAACTTCTTCAGATGTTTGGGTAGTAGTTTTAAACACTGAAATTCATCTTTTGGTCCCCCATCCCTCTCTCTTTTTCCAAGAACAAGTATATTTGGAGAAGAGTAAGGGCAAAAGTTGCAGAATAACTTATAGTATTTTTATTGCAGTACTTTAGATTGATTCTGAATTCTTCAATATAATAGGTATTAATTACTAGTTAATTCTGTTAGGGAGGATGGCATTACAAGTAGTAACATGGATTTTTACCTGCGAGGTAGTACTTATGACTATTTTACATCTGAACATTATTGAAGTTGCTCACAAGGGGTGGATAATTTAATATTGACACAACCTTAAATAAATTGAAAAGGCATAAATCAGAGGAATGAGAGTCATAAAGCTGTTAATATTAATAGAGAAATCTTTTAGGAAGCATGGTATAAAATCAAAGAGACTAGGAACCCTAAAGATGTAAGTGATGAGACTAGTTAATGACTAAATATTGGTTATTTTGTTTCAATCTCTTGTCAAGTCAAACTATTATATGTTCTTAGAAAAAGTACATATTATATGTACTCTTAGAAAAAGTACATGTCTTTACAATTATTATAGGAAAATGGAATGCAGAATTCTTAGAAAAGAAAGGTAAAAATATATAGAGAGCACAATATAATTCTTTTGGTTTTATGTAGATATCAGAACAGTACTAAACTTTATTTCTAAAATAAAAATATAATTACTTCCCTAAGTGATTATGGTCATAAATATTTATTAACAAGCAGTGTATGTATGTCATGCATGAACACATATGCATTTGTGTATGTATGTAAAAACATGTTTGCACATATACACTGCTGTAATTGAAGTTTCTTAGTAATTTATTGATTACTCTCAAATTCTAAATACAAAATGAGATTTTGGATTTTCATTATTTAAAGGTGTAAATAAAGCTGTAGAGACTCAAACTAGGCAGAAGTAAAAAGGACTTAATTAGACATGTGGATGTACTATGCTAAGTACGCTATAGAATATCCTTCTTTGGAAACATGAAGGTATGTTGGGATAGTTTGAATGTAGAACTGGGATTTCCTGGCTGTGTATAAAAAAACTCCTAGTTATCATTTTCATTTAGTCCTTCTTCTCTAAATATTGATAAAAAGATAATAAATTCAGTTAACTCATTGACTATTTTTTAAAAAGTTACTCCTTTAAAGAAAAGACTTAATTTTAATTTAGGCCACGCAAATTATATAAACGTGCAGGTGTGTGTGTGTGTGTGTGTGTGTGTGTGTGTGTGTAGCTTGTGGATGATTCAGCTAAACCTAATTTTCCACATTTCTTTTAGAAGTTCTTTTTGTCTCAAATACAAAAATATAAAAATGGGTGCGAAATAAAAAACAGATGGCTAAACACCCTCAGTTAATTTTATTTATAGGATCTTCTATGGGTCTAGGCATCTTGAAGAGATTGTCTACTCTGGAAAAGCTCTGAGGAAACAGAAATCTGGGGACTTGTCTCCGGCACTGAGCTGGAGAAGGGGGTACACAAATCACTGAACTGCTGGACCTTTTTCCTCCTAAGAAAAGGAGGGAGGATGGGGTTCTCCTCAGTGGCTTTTGGCTTAGGTCTCCTTTGGAGGCAGAATTGGTCTTGTAGGAGGTGGCTCTTTCCAAATACTATTGCTGATGACAAATTGACTGTTTTCAGATCTGATTCAAGCACTTATTCAGGAATATACTATAGATGTGTATTACATGGGTCAGCTCTGATGGAAGTTGTCATTGTGATGTGGGAAAGGTAGACCTTAATAAGCTCATGACAACCAAAAGCTATGAAAGGAAACTTTGGTAGCACTTCAAAGATAAAACATTGAGTACAGACATTTTGGTCTGTAATTGAGGGAAATAATTTACCTTCTTTTTTGTCTATTTGTGTTCAGATGTGGTTACAGTGAGCACTGCACCAGGTGTGGTAGGAATGTAGGAGATGATCCAGACTAGAGCAATTTGAGCAATATTTAATCTACAAAGCTACTATTTTATTTCATTGATTAATTAATTAATTTTTTGTTTCAGGGATTGAACTTGAGACCTTGTACTTGCGAGGTAGGCGGTGGCACCACTGAGCTGAATCCCCCGCCCCAAAGCTACCATTTTAATAGAATACCAGACAGTTTATGTGTGCCTCCTTGTCCTTATCAGTGATATGTCTGCCACAAGTCACCCTAACTCAGACTGGGAGGATTGATATTGGTGAATCAAGAACACACACCTGATTCAATGGGAGAAAAGGTGAGACCTCTTCTCACCAGAAAAGCAACCATGGTAAGTTCAGTATGGCACTGATGAGTAGCTAGAAAAAGTATTTCTGGAGCAGGGACAGAAGATCAAAGAACTGAAAGCCTCACTCCAGAATATACATGTAAAACAGGATAACATATAGTTTTGACTTTCCAGGTTTTATTTCTCCAGCCTCATTTTGCTACTTTGATCTTTCCACACTGGGTCAATGACATTAGGACCTTGTAGATAGGGGTCATGGCAGGACACGAGAGCCTAGCTCTTGAAACTCGAGCTTCACAATCCGAAGTGTGAAATTTTGGAAAGACAAGATAATTCAGAGTGAGTTTTCTCATTTCTCAATGCCAGGTAAATCTTCCTTGGATTTTAGAGAGAAGGTTGTTCCCAGGGGAGGTTGACAGGCAGATGAAGCCCTGACTGCAGACCTTTCTACCTGTGTCCAACGAGGAGAGCCGCGGTGTGCAGGGGGCATGTGCTCCACAGGCTTGCAGGTGTGAGAGAAGAAAGACCAATTTATCTGAAGTAGAAACAGAATCCTAAACTATATAGGAAATAGAAGGAGATATCTTACCTCCATGTTGCAGATGAGGAAACAAGAGACTCAAATAACTTAATCTGCTTGCCTGAGAGTTAAGAGTGTCAGACCTGCAGTTAATTATTCTAACCTTTCCATTTCAAAGTTAAATCAGAGTGGATTAAGTTACAGAGAAACGACAGACTTTGATAGAGTTGATATTAAGAAAAAAGTCCTAATGAAGTATTATATTTGTTTATATAATTTGAAATTACCCAAGATATTGCTTCTCAGCCTTTTGGCTAAGATCAAGTGTAAAAAATAGCCAAGATGGTAATCGGTTCATTTTTAGTAAATTTACAGAATTGTAGGACATGATCACAATCTACTTTTGTAATATTTTATTATGCCAAAGAGATTCTCCAGGCCATGTGCCATCATCAATTCTTGTTCCCAACCCCAGTCATAAGCAACTATTGTTTCTCCTTTCTGTGTGATTTGCCTTTTCTAGAAACTTCATATAAATGGAATTGTAAAGCAACAGAATGAGTTGGGAAGTGTTAGATTCTGCTCTGTTTTGTGTATTTGTGTAGGACTGGTATAAATTCTTCCTCATATAGTTGATATAATCCCCAGTGAAATAATCTGTGCCTGAGCTTTTCTTTTTGGGAATATTTAAAATTATTTATTCAATTTCATTACTTGTTCTAGGTCTGTTCAGGTTTTCTGGGGGTTTTTTTTGAGATAATTTTGACTGTTTGTGTCTTTCTAGGACACAAAATTGTCTAATTTGTTTGCATAAAGTTGTTCACAACATTCCCTTATAGTTAAAAAAAAAACTGTAGAGTCAATAGTGATGTCCACGAGGGGAGAATTTTTAACTACAGAAAGAATAAAAAAATTGATTCTATACCTCTTGGCCTACTTATTTTGGATACATGAGGCTGGCTTTTAAAATATATCTGTGAGCTTAGAAATAAATATACACTGAAGTATTGGTGGGTATAAGGTTGCTAAGCACATTGTGACATTCAATGCGTCCCCAGTGAGATCCTTTCTCTTCAGTTCATGATCAGGTCCTTCTTTTCTCCTGCATCTTATCTTTCTCCCATCATTCATTTCAGATTACTTTCCTGACTACCCACAGAATGTTCACAACCTTTCCCCAAGGAATGTATACAACCACTCTTCTCCATTTTTTCCTGTCATCCATAGATCTTTCTGAGCCATAATTAAATTTTGTTCATTGGTTTCAAAACTATGTGTTGTTCCTGAACTCACTGTGTAGCCCAAGCTGGCCTCTAACTTGCCAGATTCCTGCTTAGCTTCTGGAGTCCTGGGATTATAGGAGTCCACCATCATGCCAAGTTCATTTCTATTCCTTTTTGAAGAGATTAACTAAAGGTCATATGGCTAGTTAGTAGTTCTTGAGTCCATTCTAGAGCCAGGTTATCTAATTCTCTGATATTCTCTTCACTAGAACAGTCTTAATAAAATCTCAGTTGAAATATGATCAGATAACACATGTATTTCCACTGCCTTTCAAATACAACACATAATCATAAAAAGTAAGCAGAAACCACTCACATTTTACTAAATTCCACTTTTCCTCTTGGAATTCTAGATTAGAACCAAATATTCTGCAACTGTTTAGTATTTTCTAAGAAGACATTTGGAACTGTACATGTCAGACAATTAATGACTTTTAGGAGGTCATTCTCCTAGACCATCTATGTTGGCAAATGTATTTATGATTGAATTGCTAGCGACACATGAGTGTATTAAACACAGGAGATAGACTGTCACAATACTGCTCTTTTCAGTTATAAAACTTGCAGTGTTGCTGGGAATCTTCCCCAAAGAATTAAAAGAATCGTACCACAGTGATATATGTGCGCCCATGTTCATAGCAGCACAGTTTGTAATAGCTAAAACTTGGAAACAGCCCAAATGCCCATCAGCTGGAGACTGGATAAAGAAAATGTGGGTTTTTTAATAAAATGGAGTACTACTCAGCCAAAAAAAATGAGAATTTAGAGACATTTATAGCTAAGTGGATGCACATTGAGGCGATACTCTTAAGTGAAATAAATAGGACACACATGAATAAATACCGAATAGTTTCTCTGGTTTGAGAAACTGAAAGTGTAAATAAGGACTAAATGTATAATAGCTAATGTGAAATAGGAAGAAAAGGGGCAAAGGGGAAGGAAGTGGGAGGGGTAGAGGAAAGGATAGAAGGGAATGGGATTAATATGAGAAAATGGAAAAATAGGAACAAAATCTTTGTAAATAGGGAGGAATGGAGGAGTTGAAGGGAGGGCTGGGCAAGGGTGAAAAATAAGAACCAAGAGAGACTATGTAAAGCTGCAAATTTCCAATGATGAATGTCATTATATTGTATACCTAAAATGTACCAATGATTAGAATCAATAATTGATAATGTAAAATAGGAAGAAAAGGTCCAAAGGGGTAAGGGTAGTGGGAGGGGCAGGGGAAAGGAAAGAAGGGAAAGGAAAAATGCTGAGAAATGGAAAAAATGGAAATAAAGTCTTTGTAAATAGGGAAGGGTGGAGGGGGTGAAGGGAGGGCTAGGAATGGGGAAAAAATAAGAACCAAGATGCATTATGTAAAGGTACAATTCCCAACGAGAAATGTAATTGTGTTATATACCTACAATGTACCAATAAAAGAATTTAATAAAAAAACCCAACAAAACCTTGCAGTGTTGTTGAGGTGTAGGTTCTTCTTTCTCACGTTTGCAACCTATCTCTTCAAAAGCCACACACACAGGTCTTACTATTGGTTGTGGTATTACCAGGGGAGTTGACTTCAGCTGGTTCTCTGCACCCCTACAAAATCTGCTTTGTCAAGTTCAGAATGTACTGCTTGGGTCTCCACTCAGTGAATTAAGAAGTGGGATTCTTATCATCAACAATATAAACAGTATTCATAAAGGCATTGAAATGGAGAGTTGAAATAATAACCACATGACTCAGGAAAAATGCACTTTGGCCTGAAACGCTCAGTGGGAAGTTTCTCTTTAAAATTCACTGCAAGAGGTTTCAAGTTTTTTTGACTAATATAATCAATTATACAACAATATATTTGCATATCCTTTTTTTAAGGAGCTTAGAGTACATCCCACACACTATTTTTCTAATCTCTACAACACTACTTGGAGACCAGGGGTCAAGCACCAGGCTTATGGATTTCTTCACCAGAAAATCCCTAAGAGCCATTTCCTAGCTTGGTGGAAATCACATCATTTGCTGCTCATTTATTGTTTATCTGAAAATATTTGCTACCTGGCTTTGTGGAGTTATCCATATCTTAGAAAATACTTCCTTCTTTAGGTAGCTTTATGTCTGTGAGAGATCTATGTAGGGGTGTATGTGTATAAAATTCATTTCATTGCACTGCATGTTATTTACTTTTGTAATTACACTGTACATAAATTATAAGTTACCTCTCCTTAATGTCTAATACATTGCCGGTTATGTTTAATATATTGACAATTATTTGTCTTTCTACAGGCTTCCCTCCTCATACAAAGTACCTCCGTAAAGAAAGGCAGTAAGTATTCAGTAGAGAAAAATCAGCAATTTTGCTGGAGTCTGATCAGAAAAGAATTATCAAGGAATTATCAATGTCTCTTCTTTTTATCCATAGACTTTACGGGAAAGTAGTATTTAAAGCGATAATATATGATTTTTCTTGGAAATATGTTTCACATTCAGAAAACTAGAGTAAAAAGGAAGTAAGGAGAAAGAAAGAACATTAGTTTTATCTTATTTTATAATGACCAGTTTTAAAATTTGAAGCATAGGTGAACTTACTTTGTTTTGGATCATTTATTTTGCAATTTAAAAAATTAACTATCAAAACAAATTTATAGTAAATTTGTGATATGCATTGCAATTTGTTTACATATCAAGATACAAGAAAAACACAACTTTTGTCTTTTTTTGATGAAATATAGCCCACATATAAATCCACTCTTGTCATAAGCTAAGGATTAAACTGATAGGATTGCCTCTTATTTCTCATCACTAACTTTATCACTATAGCAAGAGAAATAATTACCAAGTGCTATGAGCAGAAATTTATCTACACAATAACTTAGTTAAAGAAAGTTAATTCTTATATTATTTTTGTAGATTGATAGGTTGGGAGTTGAGCATTCAGGGCTTGTTTATTTGTTTTTTGTTGTTCATTGTCCTGGGGGTTGAACCCCGGGCTTTTCCACTCAACTACACCACCAGCCATTGTCTATGTTTTGAGGCAACATCTCAATAAGTTAAGTTGCCCAGGTTGGGCTTGAACTTGCTACCCTTCTGCCTCAATCTCTCAGAGTGCTGGGATTACAGAAATGTACTACCATGCCAGGCTTGAACACTGATAATTTTAAAGCAGGCTAACTAATGTATAGACACGTTAACGCAAATTGTTTTTAGTAATAACCATTACATACATTGGTATAAGGTTGAGGGACATACTACCCAGTCTTTGGTGGTATCCAAACACCTCCTTCATTGTATGTTTTGCTGTTCTTTGTACATGTATTGCCTTATCTTGCATTCTTTCCTCTCCATTTATCACTATTAATTATTATCTTATCTCTCATTCAAATACCCTTCATGAAGTCTTGCTGACCACCCCCAACTGGCCGTAGCATATGCTATCTTTCCTTTCAATGCCTAAACCATTTCTCTTATACTCCTGAATTAAACAGGATAGGGAGAAAAATAGAAAGCCACATCACAATCCAGGCAGACACCAGGGCAGCTTTGGGTCAGGGTAGTAGAGATAAAGGGTGGCAGATTTAAAAGGTAGACTTCTCATAATTTGCTGACGGATTGGACATGAAGAGTGAGGAAGAGGAAGGAATCTAGAATACTGTCTAGGTTTCTGATCTTTGAGACCAAATTGGAAGGAATAAAAGCTATTTCCTAAATTAAGGGAGAATGCCGAGCACAGACAGATGGGAATCACGTTAAGTCTGAGATGCTTACAGGATAACTGCTAGTTTAGAATGCTATCTGCCTTCCTAAGTAGCAAAGAGATCCAAGAATGTATTTTGAAGAATGCTTTTATGGCTGTAATACATAGGTAACTAGATCAGCAAGACAGCTCTTTTCTGTGCACCTGTTCAGAGATCCAGGCAACGGAAACCCTGCCATGTCCCCGCTATCCCTGTCACCCTGGTGTCACTGCTGCATTACACTGGGGCAAGAGGAAAAGCAAGACACAGCCAGCAATGGAGCATTGCACGGTTCAGGAATGGAAACGGGACACAGAACCCTTCTGTTTGCGTTCTGTGAAATAAAACAAAGCCAGCACATCCTCACTCGCCTGGGAAACATGATTTAGTTTTCTGCTCACACAGGAAGAGGAGAGTATGGATTAGATGAGAGGCAGAAATCACTACGTTCAATTCAAGTCTTAGAATGGGCAGATGTACGATGAGTTTAGGGCTTGGAGAAGTCTGTCCTGGAGACCTAAATTTGGAAAAGATATAAGATAATAGGCATGAGATAGGGAGAGATTCTCTATAGAGAGGCATAGCAACAGGAGTTGGTAAAAGGTAACCAAAAGACAGACATAGAACTGGTGTTTAATGCACCACCATCAGGTAGAGCAGAGAGTTAACTTTCTTCCTCTGTGCTCTAAAAGCTTCAGGGCACTCAGTAGGGCAATTAGTACCTCTGGGTGGAAAAAGGAAAGTGTTAAGAAAGCTGAAAGCCTGTAATCCCAGCACTCTGGGAGGCTGAGACAGGAGGATCAAAAGTTCTACCCCATCTTGGGCAACTTAGTGACTTAGTGAGATTCTGTCTCAAAAAATAAAAACAGGTCTGGGGAGGTAGCTCAGGGTTAAGGCCCTGGGTTCAATCTCCAGTACGCCCCCCCCCCCCCCATATACACATTCACACAAAACAAAGCGAAAAATAAGGCTGAAAACTTGGAAGAATGGGAAGAATGTAGAATGGAGGTTCAGGTCTGAGAGTCAGAAGGACCAGACCAGAGTAGTGGTAGATAAAAAGGAAGTGGAGCTGAGGATTGAAATGAGTTCTTTACTGCTTTACAACTAGAAAGAGAGAAACAGAACAGGTGGGTTTATTTCTGTATCATCCATTTTACACTTGTGGATTCCTGGTCAAGTTACTGAATTCTCTAGTTGCCCATTTATAAAATGGTGATGATAATGATACCTTTCTCTAGGCTGGTGGGGATAAAGCAAGGTAGAACATGTGAAAGAGCAGAGTGCCTGTTACATGGGCTGGGGACCATGTGCTTGCTTCTTTCTTTCTTTCTTTCTTTCTTTCTTTCTTTCTTTCTTTCTTTCTTTCTTTCTTTCTTTCTTCTTTCTTTCTTTCTCTTCCCCCCCCTCCCTGTCTCTCTCTCTCTCCCTGTCTCTCTCTCTCTGTCTCTGATACAGGGTCTCACTATACAGATCACTCTGGCCTTGAACTTACTATGTAGCATGTAGCCCAGGCTGGCCTTGAACTTGTAGTAATCCTCCAGCCTCAGCCTTGCAAGTGCTGGAGTTACAGGCGTGCACCACCATGGCTTGCTTCCATGTGTTCTCAGATTTTTTTTTTAGGAAAACTTTTTTTTGTACATTTAAAATATACATAATGATAACAGTCATCATAGGGAACTTGCACCTGTACATGATATATCCTGCATCTTCTTTGTTTTCTCCATTCCTCCTCTCCCCTTAAGCCTCCCTCCCCTCCCTACATACAAAAGCTTTGTTTCCATTTTTTCCTTCTATTTTCACTTTTTTTCTTGTTCTTTCCTTACTTTCTCCCTCCTCCCTCCTGTTCCCCTCCCCATTTCAACATTTTCTTCCTATTTCCCAATATCTATTATACATTTTAGTTCTTACTGACACTTTCAGCTTCTCACACCAGAGAAACAATGTGGTATTTAAACATGTGTGTCCCATATATATCACTCAAGAGTATTGTCTCAAGTTCCATCCATTTAGCTAGAAATGTCTGAAGCTCGCTCTTCTTTGTGGCAGAGTAGTACTTCATCATATAAAAAACCCACATCTTCTTTATCCATTGTTGGTTAATGGGCATTTGGGCTGTTTCCAAGATGTAGCTATTACATATTTATAATGATAAACGTGGGTGTGCATATACCTCACTGTGATATGATGCTTTTAATTTTTTCAGGAAGATACCAAGAAGGGGAGTAGTTGGGTCAAATGGTACTTCTAGTTTTAGATTTTTGAGGAACCTCCACACAGATTTCCACAGCGGCTGCACCTGTTTACACTCCCATGAACAGTGGAGAAGGCTTCCTTTTTCCCCATAGCCCCTCCAGCTTTTGTTATTTGTTGATTTCTTGAAAACAGTCATTCTTCTGGTGAGATGAAATCTCAGAGTTGTTTTAATTTGCATCTCTCGAATGACAAGTGATGTTGAACATTTAAAAAATATATTTATTTGGTGTTTCTATTTCATCTGAGAATTGTCTATTCATTTCAGATGCCCATTTTTGGATTAGGCCTTTAAATTTGAGGGGGTCTGAATTTTGAGTTCTTTATATATTCTAGATAGTAGTCCTTTGTCTGAGGAACAGCTGGCAAAAATTTTTTCCACACTGTGGCTTGTCTCTTCACTGTGTTAGTGGCTTCTTTTCCTGTGCAAAATCTTTTTAATAAGATGAGATCTCTGGAGTTTTTTGTTTTTTTGTTTTTGTTTTCATATTTTGAGACAGGGTATCACTATGTAGTTCAGGCTGGTCTTAAACTCAATATGTAGCCCAGGCTGGCCTCAAACTTGCAGCAATCCTCCTGCTGGGATTACAGGCATGCACTACCTTCCCTGGTTGAGATCCCAGTTGTCGATTCCTTGTGATACTTTCTGTGCAATTGAGGATTTGTTCATAAAGTTTTTACCTACACCAATGTCTTTAAGAGTTCTACCTATTCTATCTTCCAGTACATTTAAGGTTTTACACTTTACATTTTCTGTTTTAATATTTCTAACTTTGACTCATTTCATTTTAGGTTAGTGCATGGAGAAAGATATGGATCTAGTTTTATTTTTAGCTTATGGAAAGCCAGTTTTTCCAGCACCTTTTATGAAAGAGGCTATCTGTCTTCTGGTGAAGGTATTTGGCTCCTTTGTCAAAGATAAGATGGCTGAGTGTGTCTGGAGTTGTTTCTGCATCTTCTAATCTGTTCCATTGATCATCAAGTCTGTTTTTTTTTTTTTTTGCCAGTACCATGCTGTTTTTATCACAGTAGCTTTATAGTATAATTTCAAGTCAGGGATTGTGATTCCCCTTGCCTTGTCTTTGTTGCTCAGTATTGCCTTTTCTATTCTAGTTCTCTTTTGGTTCCAAATGAATTTTAGGATTGTTTTCTCTGATTCTGTGAAATATGCTATTAATATTTTGATCAGGATTACATTAAATATGTGTAACAATTTTGGAAGTATGGCCATTTGCACTCTATTCATTCTTCCTACCTAAGAACAAGGGATATCTTTCCATTTTTTGATATCTTTTTCAGTCTCCTTTTTCAGAGTACTGTAGTTTTTCAATGTAGAGGTCTT